CTCAAAATTCCCATTATGTCCTAATCCCCACACACACACGCCGTCACACCCAATCATGCAGCCATCTACACATATTTTCTTGGTTTTCTAACTCCTCTCACAATTCACAAGCCACAACAACAACAACAACATATCTGTATATTTCTAACTGATTGGGGTCTGAGGGTCAGTTGTACGCAGATTTTACCCTTGTAATTATACGAGGAGGCTGTTTCCGTAGCGCCTCAAGGTGCATTGCGTCGTTTGATATATTTTTTTTTAGAAACTTCACTAATAGAAGAAATACTAGAATTTAATTGAGTCATTTTAATCTAATCCATTATTAGTACTGCCAGGAGCCAGCTCCATTTGCAATGGACAAAACAAGTCACAAGCCAATAAAAAAAAAAAAGAATAATAGTTCCTCTCATTTGCCGCCATCTTTTCTTCTTTCTCTGCACAAAATTTCAACACTCTTACAAGTTACAACACCCCCCACCCCACTCCCAAGTTCCCTTAATATTTCAAAAGAAAAAGATTTATTATTCTCCACAAAGAAAAGCGCCCCTTTTTCTCTTTTCTCTTTTCCTCATACATATCTATTCTGAGTTTCTGACCTAAGAAAATAGCCTTTGAGCCTTCACAAATTTGTTCCCTCCTAAAAAAAAATCGATATTTTGCTTTATTCATCCAGTTTTCCGAGATGGGTTTTTCGAAGAAACGGTAGGTGCAGAATCAGAAGCCAGGAAATGGGCTCTAGCCGGAATTCCGATTAGGGCGCCGTTAAAACAAATATCTACTAACAAGGCAGCGGATTACGAGGATGAAGACAGCGCCCGTTCAACGTCCCCGACAGCGCGTGAGTCAAGGATAACCGGAAAATTGATCTGCCCGCCGGCGCCCAGGAAGAGGCGCCCGGCCTCGACGTGCCATTTCAACGGAGCTAGGGAGTTCTTTAATCCTCCCGATTTGGCATCGGTGTTTATATGCCATCCTCCCCTTTTAGTGTTTATTTGTCCTTATTCGTTTTAAGTATCTGACTAGTGTTTGAGTGGTGTTTTTAGGCTTCAGCATGACGGTAATGAAATATATAAATAAGGTGGTAGAAATTAGTATGAATATAGTTTAGGGAAATGTTATGGTCTCGTTACGGTACTATTTCGTCGGATGCATGTTTTAACTGTTGGATATACATGTGGTTAGTATAAGATAGATGATCCAATAGTTAAAACATTGTGAAAATAATTATTTTCACCCCGTTTTGAAGTCTTGTTAAGTTTTTCACACCACCCAATAAAAAACTAAGTTTTTCATCTCAGAAAGTGCGAAAGTCATTGTGCGATAAATATGCGGCAATTGCGCGATGACATTGTGCGAAAGTTAAAAGTGCGAAGGCATTCGCATATCCCTTCGCACTTTCTGGGGTGAAAAAAAAGTAAAGTACGAAGACATTGTGCGATGAATATCCGACAGTTATGCAATTGATATGCGACAATTTTTCGCACAACCTTCGCACTTTCCTGGGTAAAAAAACTTAGTTTTTCATTGGACGATGTGAAAAACTTAATGTGTCTTTGTATTGGAGTGAAAAGATTTTTTACTTAAAACATCCGACGGAATTATACCGGGACTATAACATTTGCCGTTTAATTTAATCTACTATAGTTTTACTAGAATTTTATAATCAACTGGTGAAAGTTTGCATTGTTTGAGTAATTCTGTGAGTTTCTTTTTTTTTTTTTCTCTCTTCTGTGATATGTTTTTTTTTTCTTTGGTTGCTAATTAATTACTTGAAATTTAAGTTAGTTTTGGGTTTATTTTTCTAATATATTCATCTTTTATTGCTTTTAATTATTCAAGTAGTTTGGGATTTAATACGATGGGCAGTGCAGTGCATAAAGACAACTGATACAAGATTGAAAATTAAAGTTCACCTACCAGATTTTGGCTTTAATTTAAATAGCTACTCAAATTTTATTACAACAACTACTTGCTCCTTATTTGGTTGTTTCCTTAACCATTAGCTGGATTAACAAGCATCCTGAGGTAAGTTCTTCTTGGACTTGAATTTTCGGCAACCTTTATTAATTGGATCATGGAGTGTGTCACCACGACTTCATACTCAATCTCTACTCAATCATTGATGGAGCTCAAGCCGCATTTGTGAGGGGTAGGAACATGTCCGATAATATTCACCTCATGCAAGAATTACTCCGGCAATACATGCGAAAGAGGGTCTCCCCGAGGTGCACTATCAAGATAGACCTTCGTAAGGCTTTCGATTCTATCTCTTGGGCTTTCTTGAGGCAAGTTCTTCTTGGACTTGAATTTCCGGCAACCTTTATTAATTGGATCATGGAGTGTGTCACCACGACTTCATACTCAATCTCTATAAATGGTTCGCTTTGTGGCCACTTCAAAGGTGCCAAAGGGTTGAGACAAGGAGATCCGCTCTCGCCTTACCTCTTTATTATATGCTTGGAGTATCTCTCGAGACTCATGAACCGGAGCACGGCTAGCGGGTCGGGTTTCAACTATCACCCGAAATGTAAGTTTCTTAAAATTTCTCACCTTGCCTTTGCGGATGATTTAATGCTCCTTTCGAGGGGCGACCCATGTTCTATTAAAATCTTAATGGATTGCTTAAGGGACTTCGGAGCCAAATCGGGCTTGAAAATGAATGTCTTAAAGTCCAACATCTACATGGCGGGAGTTGGCCAAATGGAGCATTCGGAGATTCTTCGTGACACTAACCTCCGGCCGGGGTCTATGCCTTTCCGGTACCTCGGTATCCCACTCACGGCGGGCAGAGTCACCGTTGGGCAATTTGATCCTCTCATAAATCAAATATCGGAATACATCAATGGATGGAACGCTCCCTCTCTCTCATATGCGGCAAGAGTGGAGCTCATTAGATCGGTCCTCCAAGGGGTGGAATGCTTTTGGTTGTCTATCTTCCCTCTTCCGTCGACCGTCCGTTCGCTTATCATCCAACGATGACGTCGTTTTCTTTGGGGCTCAAAGATGGCGCCGGTGGCTTGGCTGACCGTCACCCTCCCACGTTCGGAGGGAGGCCTAGGCCTTCGGGACCTCAAAGCGTGGAACCAAACCTTGCTAGCACGAACACTATGGAATATTCAAGCCAAGAAAGACACCTTGTGGTACCGTTGGGTTCATCATGTTTACCCAAAGCAAAAATCCGTGTGGCAATGGACCATCCACAAGAACGATTCCCCTCTTTTCATGAACCTCTATGACATTCGGAACATAATAGTTGAAAATTTGGGTAGCATACAAGCCGCCGAGGCCACTCTTAGCCTTTGGGACTCCAAGTCTCGCTCCAAGGGGCCTTCATGCGTCTACGAGTTCTTCCGACCCCAAGGCACGCCCGTCCCTTGGAAGGGTGTGGTTTGGGGGCCCCCCAATACCCCCAAACACGCCTTCATTCTTTGGCTTGCTACGCTCCGGAGGCTCCGAACCGAAGATAGAATTGGCTTCCTTGATATTGACTTTACTTGTGCCTTTTGTGGGGAAGCTTCCGAGACAAAAGATCATCTATTTTTCACTTACCCCCTTTCGGCCCAAGTGTGGCTTGCCATCCGGCATTGGCTAGGATTGAGGCGACAACTCTCCACTCTAAAGAGTGCATTGAAGTGGATTAAGAAGGAATCCCAAGGCTCCGGTTGGAGAACAAAAGCAACAAAGGCCGGGCTCGCGTCTACGGTATACTTCCTTTGGATTGCTCGAAATAGAAAGATTTTTGAAAATGAGGTGCAAACTCCGGAGCTCATTATTCGGAAGATTCAAACCCATGTCTATAGGAATATATTTGTTTTGTACCCGAATGTACTTGCCGATATAGAGAGAAAAGCCCTCAAAAATGACTTGGACTAGCCTCCCTAAATAGAGTGAGGTTTGCTCTCCTTATTTTATGTTGACTAGCAAGTGAGGAACCGGATTGTGGTCGCCCACTTTGCTCTAGTTTGCCGTGAGACGGTTGATGTAGAAACGGTTTTGATTTATAAAAAAAAAAAAAAAATTAATTTAACGACCAAAAAAAAAAAAAAAAACAAGCATCCTGAGGTGTCATCTGCTATTCCACTTGCAACTATTTAGGGAAGTTTTTATCATTATAATCCTCATTAGTCTCGTTTTATCCTCATTTAAGCATAATATTTATTGCAACCTTCATCATATGCAGTACATGTTCTCTCGGTTTTGCTATAAAGCCAACAGTTGGCTCCATAGTGGAACCAACCTCTTATATACAACAAGTAAACCTACCATATTTTCTGATTATTTAAAACGGTTGGATTCATAGCAAAAGCGCATGTTCTATACCAACTCATCTTCCAATAGCACTTAATTATACACCAAAAGTAATTTAAAATAGGTGTCAATAATCACTTCAATTCGAGTTTTCATTGTAATTTATTGGAAGGATCGAGTTTTGTCTTTGTCCACCCCTTATTATTTTTTCTTTTTTGGTACAAAAGAAGAGAAGGCATGGCCTAATCAATTGAGTTACATACGTTTCGCGAGTAAGACACACCAATGAGGTCGTGTTCTAACCACTGTCTAACACCATTTGGAGGGTCGGTAAAGAAATGGTACCCCAAGGATCCTTCCGCAGCGAATGAAGCCAAATGGTCGACTGCAAAATTTGCTTCGCGGAATACGTGATTTACCTTTACCATCCATGCACGATTAAGGAGATCTTTGATACCTAGAATGAGTCCAACATGAATTCCCGGTATCTCGTCTAGCGTCCTAGCAAATCTCACCACATTCTCGTTATCCACTTCGGCTACAACTCGTCTAAATCCCAAATCCCATGCCAAAGTAAGCCCTCGGAATAGCCCCCATAGCTCCGCAGCCATAATCGAGCAGAAACCAATTTTCATTGAGAACCCCCCTAAATAATGTCCCTGTTCGTCTCGGATAAGCCCTCCCGCACAGCCCACACCCGAGGCGCCATTAAATGAGCCGTCCGAGTTCAATTTCACCCATCCTGAAGGAGGTTTTTCCCATTTTATCCACCTAGTAATTGTCATACAACCAGTCACCCCAAGTTTTATATCCCCTTCCAACACCTTCATAATTCCATTGACGTACCCATTTATTTCCTTTAATCCGTCAACCACAGCTCTCGTTATTCCTTGGAAAAGGAACTCGTTACGCCACTGCCAAAGCTTCCATACCACCACACCAAACATGCGTTCCCAGTTGGCCACATCAATGTTTGGCGAATTCACCAAATCCACCCCTTATTTGATTTCTCTATACCTCACTCTGAAGAAGGAAAAAAAAAAGACAAAAAAGGAAAAAATAAAATATAAAATCTATCAATGAGAACTAATAACCTTAAACCTTAAACACCGCATACAATAATTCAAAATTGGTCCTATAATTTAGCCAAAGTCCAAGAAATCACTCCATCATTGACCATTTTTTATATGAGTCCAATAATTTGCCAATTCAATTGATTTTTGTCTCTTTTTATCCGTACCCTAAATAAAAATGTGACGCGCTGTTTTAATTCTGGCATGGCGCGACTGCGGTTTAAGTGGCAAGATTATGAAACGTTGACTTCAAAATTAAATGATCCACATCAGCTTCAGGAGTTAGTTGCAATTAACTAAAACATTTAAAATTGTAAAATAGTCCATAGAACTTATTAAATTTTCAAAAAACGATTGCTGCAATCCTAAACCTATTTCGAATCGTCTTCACCCATCCGCCGTTGACGACCGCCGCTGTCGTTCGCCTACCGTTGATCGACCACCTCTGATCATAAACTTTTTTACATCATCTTGAAGCTCTTTTCTTCTTCGTTCACCTCCTAAAGTTTCTGGCGAAAAGTACACCGGTAAGGTCGTCAATTGCTTTATCAAAGTTTTTAGATCTTGAAATTTTCAATTAAATTTCGGTCTTCTTCTTCAATTTTTCGACGATTCACAAAAACCCACCGAAATCTGAGAACACCTATGGACTCCTCATGTCGCCGCGCACACGACAATGTTCACCAACTC